ACTACCACTTCTACCGTGATTATGGTCATGACACGAAGGACTATCACGATTTGAAGGAGCAAATTGAAGAACTCATTCATCGACGACACTTGGGGAGGTTCATTCAGAGGCATCGAGAACCCTCACCTCGACCTTAGGGGTTGACGGAGAGATAGATCGACATTATCATCAGTGGACCTACCTTGGGATAAGACAACTCCTCGGGTTGAAAAGTCTATACCCGAGCTGCTATTAAAAAGCGCCCGAGGTCTGAAGATGACTCAAAAATAATATTCAAGGAAGAAGAGATAGAGTACCTCAACTCAAATCATGATGATGCCTTTGGTGGTCTCTGTAAGGATGATTAACACTCAAGTGAAGAGGGTCGTGATCGATACATGTAACTCTATCGATATCCTCTACTTTGACACTATTAAAAAATATAGGCTTTCGACTAACGATCTTGCCCCTATGACTTCTTCGCTGACGAGGTTCACTAGCGACTTCATCTTCTCTCTTGGGACCATGAGCTTACATGTTATATTCGGCAATGAGCCCTGCCCTAAAACAGTGGTGACCAAATTCATGGTGGTCGACATCCTCTTGGCGTACAATGGGATCATAGGCTAACCCATGCTCAAGAGAAATTCGTTACGATGAAGGTGCAAGACGAAATATACCCGAGACATGTGCTAAGACAGGCCGTTCGAGACTATCTTCCCCCTATCACCCATGTGGACAAAATACCAAGAGGGGACATTGGAGCGGTTACAAGTTGTACCCTCCAAGGTCAGGTTTAAAAGGTATTTCCCAATGCTATGTCAGATGACTCTCTTTTCGAGAAAATAACCCATACCCAAAAAGGATATCGGACTAACTTGAGGATTAGAGGGATTGGCTCAGAAAATTTCCTTCGACACCGATTTTAATATAGGTGACACCCAGAGAGCTTGACACTACCACATCAAACCTACTTCAGAGCCACTTCAAATACTCCTATACTCTTAAGTTTGTATCATGTCGGGTAGACTTAGACATCGATGACGATTTTTCCTAACAACACAAAAAAATAAATTTAAACTCATAACCTGCTATAACATAATGATAGATATTTTTTTATTCAGTACATACTTAAATTACTAAAAAATACCTGACATAATTATTAACTCTAATGAAAGCTATGACAAACAAAGTCTCCGAAACCATCTGAAGGTCATAACTATTAACTCTAATGAAAGCTATGACGAACAAAGTCTCCGAAACCATCTGAAGGTCATAACTATTAACTCTAATGAAAGCTTTGACGAACAGAGTCTCCGGAACCATCGGATGGTCAATGTTGAACACTATTAGAGATATTTTCATGATACTTAAATTGATCTTGACATAACATAACAAAGTTGCCAATTGAACGGTCAATGTTTTCTATAATTGCTAGTAACTAGCTAGCGTGGAGAGGAAATTGTCATCCAAATTCTTTTTAATTGGTTTATCTATATAACATTGGCATTTTTTTCCCCCATAAACATTCTTTTTTTTTTTAATTGTGTATGTCTAGGATTCTATTGTCTATCTCTTGGTTTATTTTTAAATTAATTTTTCATGTTACTATATGCATTAGAGATGTTTATGACGAGATTCAAATCCTTGATCACTTTATTATATATACAAATATGTTAATCATTGGATGTTTTCCTAAATATGTCTTGTATACAGAAAAATATTTCCATATTTATTTTTCTTACGAAAATAAGATTTGATCACGAAACATTACTATCGATAATCAAAATACTCGCTCTGTCGAGACGTCGAGTGGACGAGGAATTGGGTAGAGCGACGGTGTGGGGGCCAAGAACAGATGTGAGCACGTGGCGATCTCTTCGAGGATGGGTGGGCGCGCGATTCCTGTCCGTGTCTTTTCACCATCGCGTATCGTTTTCACCACTGGTGCGCGGCATGCGAGCTCACGTCAATCTTTGCGGCTCAAAGGCTTGACCTGAAGTCACGCTTTTGTGCTCGCCAGAGAGAAGGAAATGATTGATGGGTGGAAGACAGATCCATTATCCAACTCCATACGGTATATGTTTTTTCACTGACCACAATTATATGATCTCAAACAAATTTACAATAATAATAATAATATTATTATTATTAAATTTAAATAAAACACATCAAAATATTATCAAATAAATCCTGATAAATAAATTTAATATATCATCATCAAATTAATATATTATAATTGAATTCTTACTACCGTCGATTGACTAAAGAATGGATCCAAACCAATTAGATGTCGATGAAAAATCTACCTTTAATGATAGTCTATAAGGACAATCTGATAGGATTGTCATTTTAAATTTAAATAAAAATAAACCAAACACATCAAATGTATCAAATAAGATTTTAAATCCTGATAAATAAATTTAATATATCATCATCAAATTAACATTTAAAATATAAAATTATAATTTTATTTTAATATATTATAATTGAATTCTTATTACCGTCGATGATGTCGATGAAAAATCTAACATTATTGATAGTCTATAAGGACAATCTGATAGATACTTTAGAAACGTTGGTAATCTTTAAAACCTCAAGAACATAGAGTTTTACTCTATCATCAATGAAATATTATTCTTGGAATAAAATGTTAAGAGGTCTATCTATGAGAACTAACCTTTGTAGACATGAAAACATGATTGCGAATGCACAGAACATATTTCATTTAGTTCACAGGTTCAAAAATTTTCTCCCAGATATTTTTCAGAAGCATGTTTCCTTCATGATTATAAGCCTTCAATCCTCTGCCTCAAAATGGACCAAGACATTCCCTATGTTATGAGCAGGTGGCAGGTTGGATATTGTGGTTAGTACAGTTTGTGTATCGACCCACAAGTAGCAGCAGAAAGTAAGAAACAAGTTGTCCATGATTGGGCTCAGACTAAAACAATGTACTTGTGAACCTTTGTAGTTCACCCTCTAAGAATGATATGTAAGCTTATATGTATCTTCCCATAACTTACAAACCAATCTGTCACCACATAAAAATCACACTTCCAATGAAAATATAAAAGAAAAGAAAGAAACAATCTGACGATGAAGAAATTCGAGCGAGCATTTTGATAAATTATCGACCACAGAGAAGCTGTAGAAAAGAATATATTGAAAGAACAAATGGTACATTAATCGAGCTCAAGAGATTAATCTGCGGGACTAGGATTTGCTCGGGTCTCTGGTGCAGCATGTCCATGTAGATTTGACATAATCTTGGAGTGGATAGCACAGAATACCCACAGAACACAGTTAGAAAAATATAAAACATGAAAATAAACATAATACTAAAAGGAAACACAGATTTTTTATGTTTGAAATGCTATCCAGGATTGTTCTTGACTGCTTCTGGTGCTTGCTCTTAGCAGTAAGCCACTTCCACAGATCTGGGCTTTCCTGCAGAATTTTTTACAAGCAAAGGTAGTGTCAATACTACAGAAGAAACATCTAGCAAACTCATTAGCACTAAAAGTGGCAGATAAAGCCAACAAAATATGTAAATAATTGCTACACTCATGCAGGGACAAGAGTAGCTATGTGGAATAAAAACCATGTTATTACCATTAATTTATTCAATTGGAGCAAGACCATGTTATTATTGTGAATTTCTTCCCAATCCTCCTTGTTCCAAATTACATTCTTAATAACATAATGAACCTGTGCCAGTTGCTAGTTATATGTGTTAATACATTCAGAAATCAAGAAAGGCAAATTAATATTAGAGACATTTGAAATAAGGACCACGCTACTATTGTAAGTTTCTTCTTAATCCTCCTCATTCCAAGTTACCTTCTTGATAACAAATTCAACTTGTACAATAGTTGCCAATCATAACATTAATACTTCAGAAATTGAGCAAAGAAAAACTAAGATTAGAGAAGGGCCACCACGCTAGATTATTGAATTAAACTTGACATATAGCAAATACATGGTGTCCCTGATATCACACACAACACACTAAAAGCCTCAATAATAATGAGGTAGGCAACTATTTGCACCCAAAATCTGAACAAAAGTACCAAATCTATGAATAAAGATCTGAAGAACTAGGATAATAATTTTGTGATGGCAATATGAAGAGGGAAGCAATTAAGGTGATATATCAAAAGTTGGAACTTCTCAAAATTCAGTGTTGGTTTCACTTGTAAGCAAATACCTAGGAAGTTATTTCAGAATTCATAAGAGTTAAGAGCTTTAATAAACCAATTGAGTGCTATTGTGGAAAATACTAAGCTTATAAGCAGTATAATAAACTTCAATAGGTGTACCTTGTCTGAATTATCAGTCAAATAACTGCTGAAAATGTTCGAGTTCTGATGAGTATGACATCAGTTTATTTTGCTTTTGAAGCATTTTCCTTGATATATCTTTTATCAATATGTATAGAGTCGATTTCTTGCATCCCAATCTCATGAAGATGTTCTTCTATATATATGTCTGATCTAATATTGAATTAAATGAAGCATATGACATGTCAGGTTATAAAGGTTCATTAGAAGAGTTACCAAGGATACTACTCTGGAAGAAATGATTCAGCATACATGGTTGAATAAGCAAACTGAAGATAATTTTTTTATGATTACATGAATAGTTAATAAGATTGTATATGTGGAGGTAAAGGTAGCTAAATTTGATGAAAGATATATTGTACATATCTATCAAACAACATATTGATGTTGGATTGAAGCTGTGATCCATGACATTGAATGGCAACAATTTGATAATTCTGCTAAACAGACAGAAAATGAAAGAAAGTTGTATTGGCATGTGGAGCTCTAGAACCAAGGCAAGATATAGTAAGTGGAAAAAGGATGAAGAGTCCTTCATAACAATTTTGAATATCTTATATGGCAGCACTTTAGTCTTAATGATGATTATATGTGGATGCACAAAGGAACATGAACAAATTGACTGGAAGAAAACTCTCTGCTGCTCTTCAAGTGATGAATGTAGTTACCCTACCAAATCCAATTCCAATTCAAGGAACCCCCTTTGCCTGCTCCTACACAATAACCTGCCCACAACAAAGTGAACTCTTTATGGCTTCCAAGATCACCAAGCACACGAATCGATTCGTCATGATGGATTGACGAGCAAAAGACCTGTTATGAAGGCGGCGCTCGCTCTCTTCGTCGGAGAGGTCGACGTCAACCGACCAATGACGCGAGGAAATCCAAGAAACGGGTCCAACTTGATATTGAATCAAGAGAGAGGATCAAATTGGATGACACCCTAGAATCCAAGGAAGCAGCTAAAATCAGGCATGGATTGGAGGAACAAATCGAGGATCAAGGTAAGAGAAATATTCGGTACCTGAGGGATTGTGTATATCTCGGAGCACTTAGCATGATGATTTGGCGAAGACGGAGGGATCTGCTTGTTTGTGAACAAATGTGCGTGGCTAGGTCCACGGGTTGATAGCGGGAGCTCTGGTTGAGCTGGAGGTCAAGGTAGGTCGGGTCTTCGCGACGGGGTGTTGGTCAACGTTTCTTGGTCCGAGCGCCGTCCGCGTCGAGCTACGTCTCTCTGTTCCCGAGATAGGTGGCAGCTCGCCCTCCTTCACTAGGTGGTGATTTTCGGGTCGAGGCGCTCGTGGCTCGGGATGACCACTTCCCTGCAAAAAGGGCTTTCGTCGGGTGATTCTCGATTTTGGCCCCTCCGACAAGCAAGTCAGTTGCGGGTGGAATTCCTTCCCCAGGGTCGGGTGCCGGCCAGAGGTCTTTATACTACTGTCCAAGGGTCGGTCGTACACGGGTTGACGTGGTGGACGTGTCAAACAGTGCCTTGGTACAGATTCTGACTTGTCGTGTCTTGGGGGCGGTGTTGCCTCGGGATTCCCGAGACGTGCCAAGCAGCGGCTTGGTACGGATTCTGAGCTAGCGTGTGACACCGGCTGTGACGTGTCTTGGACCCAAAATAGGCCCTATCACTTCTCTCCCCCCCCCTCGACATGGCGTGTCGTGGGGTCCTGGAAGGGCCGAGAGACGTGCCGGGGTTGGAGTGGTGTGATCGCGTCGGTTGCTCGTGAATGGGATCTGGGACGACGAGTCGTAAGTCTTGGATCGTGATGGAGCGAGTCGCAAGTTGGGGATCGTCGTGAAGTGACTCGGACAACGGACTAGGGCGGCGAGGTGTGGCTCGAAAGTTGGATCGACCGAGATGTAACTCGAACATTAGATTGGCCGCGAGACGTAGCCTAGTCTGAAGGTTGGCCCTACGGGCCGAGTGACTGAGTTTGGGCCTAGGTTTCGATGCCAACGAGCCACAAGTCGGGAACCGATCTGGAGCGGCTCAAGCACGGTCTGGGTCGGCGAGTCGCAAGTCGGGAGCCGATCTGGAGCGAACTCGGGCAAGATCTAGGCTGGCGAATCACAAGTCGGGAACCGATCTGGAGTGGCTCGGGCAAGAGCTAGGTCGGCGGGTCGCAAGTCGGGAACCGATCTGGAGCGATCCGGGCAGGAGTTGGGCCATCGAGCCGCAAGTCGGGAACCGATCTGGAGCGGCTCGGGTAAGAGCTGGGCCGACGGGTTGCAAGTCGAGAATCGATTTGGAGCGACCCGGGCAGGAGTTGGGCCATCGAGCCACAAGTCGAGAACCGATCTGGAGCGGCTCGGGCAAGAGCTAGGCCGACGGGTCGCAAGTCGGGAATCGATCTGGAGCGACCAGGGTAGAAGTTGGGCCAGCGAGCTGCAAGTCGGGAACCGATCTGGAGCGGCTCGAGCAAGAGCTGGGCCGACGGGTCGCAAGTCAGGAACCGATCTGGAGTGGCTCGGGCAGGAGTTGGGCCAGCGAGCCGCAAGTCGGGAACCGATCTGGAGCGGCTCAGGCAAGAATTGGTGCAACCCGGGCGTAGGCCTTCCTCGTCGATGAGCTGCTGTCGCCAGTTGTTGATCCACCGAAGATGACATCGATCTACCTCTCGATGGACCCCTTGGGCCGCGGGGTCGCTTCTCGAGGTTCTTTGAGGTAGTGCCCGAGGTGCCCCCTTCGGATCAGGTCCTCAATTTGATTCTAGAGGTCGCGATAGGTCTCCATATCATGGCCGTAGTCTCGATGGAACCTACAATATTTGGACTGATTCTTGTGAGTACCTTTCAGGGGGTTGGGCTACCGCAAAAGGCCTTTTTCCCTGATTTGGAGAAAGATCTCGGTATGAGATGCGTTTAGGGGGAGAGGCAGTGGTCTTAGTATCGGCAGCTTTGGTCGATCAGGCCTTCTATGTGGTTGCATCGGGGTTGTTGTGGTCATCCCACCGGATTGTTCCACCCTTGGCCTTTTCCCGTCCATGCGTTTTCCCGCCACTAGAGCTTCGGCGGCGACGTACTGGTTGGCACGCTGAAACATCTCGGGGACAGTTGTGGGTGGCTTCTCGACCAGCGACCAGAAGAGCCTTGAAGGCTTCAAGCCCATTAGGAATGCCTGCGTGATTAAAGAGGGGTGAGCGTCCGGGAATCCCCGAATTTCAATGGCGAAGTGTGCTACAAATTGGGAGAGTGACTCATCTTCGCATTGGGACAACGCGAGTAAAGTGGCCATGGAAGGCTTGGGCCGCACGCTAGCAAGGAAATTCTGCTCGAACTCCCTTGTGAGCTGGTCGAAGGATGAGATCGAGGAGGGGCATAGCCGACTGAACCATGTTCGGGCTGGTCCTCAGAAGGTGGTCGGAAAAGCACGGCACATTAGGGCATCAGACGTGCCGTAGAGGGCCATCTAAGCTCGGAACGCGACGACATGCTCCGTGGGGTCAGAGCCATTGTCATACGCCTCCAATGCTGGTAACCTGAGGTTGAGGGGGGACGAGCTTGTCCCATATTTCTTGAATGAAAGGTGATCCGCCCGAGGTGCCTTCGCCCGCCTCGCCTCGCGACTTCCGGAGCTCGCGATTCTGACTTGTCGTGTCTTGGGGGTGGTGCTGCCTCGGGATTCCCGAGATGTGCCAAGCAACGACTTAATACGAATTCTGAGCTAGTATGTGACACCGGCTGTGACTTATCTTGGATCCAAAAATAGGTCCTATCACTGCTTAAGGTCGCCTTGGGCGTCGACGGCGAGCTCGAAAGCGTTCGCCGTCCCTCGCGTTGCCGGGGGATATAAGAATTGCATTGATATAACGACACCATAAATTTTACTTTACCCGCGAGAGTGGGATTTAGTTCCGCGACTGGGCCCCCCCGGACTGGTGGCGTAGGCGACAGAATGGGTGAGCATATCAAATTTGGTCACCTCAGTTGGCTCCACGTGTTCCTGGGCGGATCATAATTCGTCGCACGTGCTGCGGATTTGTCACCGTTCGTAATCCACGAATTGGTAAATTGGATATGGCCATCCGGAATAAGTCATATTTTTGTTTTGATTTTTTTAGACGAAATTATACATAAAATGCTCGAAACTGTATCTAACTTTTGTTAAATAACTACTTATGAATATATGAAGATAATATTTTAGTTGTCTCGAGATTCAAAGCCAAACATGTTTCACTTTTATGTTAAATTAGACTCGAAATATTTCTCATTTCATAATACCTTTTGTTCATCCGTTCATTACATCTGTTTAGACATAACACACTTTCGTATTATCATCTATCATCCTTTTTTTATAATATTTCTTTTACACATGAAGATCATCGTATGTATGTTCGACTTTAGCACGGTTAGTCACCTGGGCAAACCAATCCTACCCCAAGATTTATTGTGCTATGCCCCTCAATATCCCTATAGAGTGAAAGAGCTATTTTGTGATCCCTAGGTTGTAACATGTATGATTGTTAACTCTTAGCGTCACTATCATCGTTTCTCGGATCGACCAACGTCTCGCCTTATATTACGATGTTAGGAAAGGATCGATTAACACCTCATCTTAGGTTATTCTTAGGTTATGGTGTTAAGAAATCCAACCATATATTCTTAGGTTATGGTGTTAGGAAAGTAAAGATCCAACCCTATATTCTATAAAAACTATATGAAAGGCAAACCAAACAAGGCCTCTATAATATTAAGTTAGTTTATATTTGAAGGATTCAACTAAATACAAAGTTTATAAGCTCGAAAGAGTCATGAGCCCTTAACAACATACTTGCAAATATTTTTATATATTGTTATCATCATCATGATTAATATTACAGACAATTATGTGTCTCATATGATTATGAATGTGATTGTAAAATCATGAACAAAATAGGGTAACGATTTTGTTGACTCAACTTCCCACTAGTGTTACATGGTTGACGTCCTTCAACTAACTGTCACGGACAAACTTCGAAACAAAGTGTTTGATGTAATGCTTATGTATGTCCGTGTCTTTTGGCATGTTCATGCCTTGTACAGAATGTAAAGGGGCAGCCGAAGGCTTAATAGTCCCACTTTAGTTGGGTTGGTGGCCTCTTTAGGCTTGTAAATAAAGGTTGTGTCATGTGGACACGTGCGAGAGCTTTTCGGTCTATAATGGACCATTTTACCCTTTGTTGTGCCACTGTTCAGAGCTTGTAAAGTCTGTTTGTAATTTGCATTGTCTATGAAGTGTTCTTTCGGAGATGTTTGCTTGTGGATCCCGATTGAGGTGTTCTCTCTCTAACCCGTTCTCTCTTTTGGTGGTCCTATGGGACAATGGGAGGCTTCGGGGAGGCTGACCTTAGCGGACGGACACGCAAGGGTGCCGCACGACTTAGGCAAAACCAGCTAAGTCCGTGTCATATGGTATCAGAGCGGGACAAGCACTCATAGAAACACTTAGCATGCAAACGTGGGGGACCTAGCGGGACTGCGTTGAGGGCAGTCAGCACACGCGCGACCGTTTGGGGGAAAACGGGCATGGAGATGTAGGGAAAAGGAGTGGCTCAGAGGAGCGGGCATCTGAGATTGGCATTCAGAGGAATGGCCAACCCTTCGCGCAAGAGGCACCACGAGAACAGGCAAGCTTGGAAGAACTTGGAGCGCACAAAGGTTGGGATGGCTGAGTTTGAGCTACGGCTCAATGTTGATGACAACTATACTTGATGGTGCTCTAGGCAAGCGAGGCGCTTGGCAAGAATGAGACCATCCAA